ACCTATTGCCATCTAGTTGATTCCAACTCATAGCAATCTGTAGGACAGAGTAGAACTGTGCCATATACCTCACCTTATTTAAAAAAAACAAAAAGATCTGTGGAAGTTTAAAATTATGCTTATGACATAGAATTCTATCATCAACTAGAAGCATGTGAGAAAGAAATAAGAAAAACAAAATGTAGAAACATATGACCATCTTACTACCAACAAACTGCTTATATGTTTTTGTTGTTGTTGTTAGGTGCCACCAAGTGGGTTCTGACTCATAGCGACTGTATGTACAACAGAATGAAACACTGCCCGGTACTGTGCCATCCTCACAATCGTCATTATGCTTGAGTGTTACATAAAAGATGATAATTGGCTTTTCTCCACTTCAATGGAAAACAGAAGTAAAAGGGATTTGGTTCACGCTCCAAAATGAAGGATTTAGACTGGATTCAAGAAATAGCTTTCTGATGGTGAACTGAAATAGGCCACAATCTTATTTGAAGATATTTGGAAAGAAAATAGAATCTCCTTCTTCTCTGCTCTTTGAGGTTTGACCCTATGTAGGGTTTGGTTTGATGAAATACTGAGGCCCCTCCCTTCTAGCCAATAATTATCTAATCCCATGAGGAATATTTCCTCTCCCATCCCTTAAAGAGACAGTCTGGTAATGAGAAGATAAAGAAATGGGATTAAAAATGTGGCTTGTGCTTCAGTATTTGATACACTGTTCTATTGGGAGTTCTGCTTATATTTTAATTACAGCTAAGTTTAGTACTACAAAAATATTTTAAAATTTTCTCTTCACCATCAAAGAAACAAATAAACAGGAATTACATAGGCAGAGTGAAATTAGATGAGTTAGAAGCTATACTAAAGGGATCCTGTTCTTCTTTCTAATTTTGTAGAAGAGATTATCATTTCTCCATTTTCTCTTTCTAATTTGTTCTTATTCACATTTTTTTATAACACCTGAAACCAGAGTTTAAGTTTCTAAATGATTATCTGAAACCAAATTGTTCCTCAGGGGAGAATATATATATTTTACCTGATTTGTTAGACACCCAAATAATTGCTTCTGAAGACAAATGGCTTCTATTTCCTACCACAATGGTTAATGGAATCTGCCACAGGTAACTGCAAAATAAAAGAGAAGCTTTAAGAATAAAAATGGTTACATATTAAAAAAAAAAATGTCCATGTATCTTCTGTGTGATTATTACTCTTTTTTAGGGGAACTAAAAAAAAATTCCCAGCCGTAGAAGTAGATACTAAGCCAAGAAGATTTACTCTTTCAACGCCACTAAGAAGACTTAGCCTCTTAAGCATTTTAACTTCAATACAGAAGGGATGTGCTAATTAAGTATTTAACTTGCCAAAAAAATAGATTTACATTTTCCATTAGGAATTACAACTGGCTAAACTCTATACATATGATACATAGCATATATTGATTAAAGTCTAAAAATAACTCACTTCTACTTGTTTCTACATGAGATTAATAAATATTTCAGTGGTTTTATGCATTCACATTTCAACATTCTCTTTATTTATTTCTCTAACTATTCTGAGAGATACTATTATCATATTTTCATAAAGGTTAATATGGCACACCTAAGGTTACTCAGCCAAGCAGAACTAAAAATAAAACTAACCAGGTTCCCCTAAAACCCGTATCAATACAAAGAACACTGTGGGACACATTTAATGTTCTGTTTTCTTAACTGGAATGTCCAAATGGCTTGGCAGAGCATCCACCAACATTCAATGATCAGCTGTGGGTCTCAGTTATTAAAGAGAAACGTTTTCTAATATTTGCCTCTTTATAGGGTAAAAATTGAGGCTTATACTTGTACATGAAGTAATATCAATTTAATCTTAAATGACTAGTCAGAGAAATGCCAGATGGGTCTTACGAAAAGTCTGAGGACTATATTTTGTTTTTTTTCTTGAAATATAACTGGATTACTTCGACCTATTATTGTACCATTAGCAACAGGAGTAGACAACAACATCTAGTGTGGGAAAAATATTTCTTTATTTTAGTATGGTGAGAAGATGCAGTTTGTCTGCGCAATAACTGGAAGAGTGACTGGAGAACTGAGAATCAGGGAACGTGCCTGGGGAATAGTAGTATAATGAATATGTCTTTTTTGGGAGTTCAGGGAAGGATATCTCTGAATCTGTCCAGAGAAATTTGATTGTTTTATTATTTCATTTCTTCCATTCACAATTCACAAACAGGAATTCAGTAATAGTAAAATGTCTAAATAGGAGAGAGGAAGAAATTCATTATTTTATAACAACTATCTCTAACATGAAAAGTCAAAATCATACCTTCAAGATTCTGAATTTTAAAATCGTATGCTGTGCTTAATCTAAGAAACATTTCTGAGTGCCAACTTTGGGGAGACACCATGTTATACTGGAACTGACTCTACATAATTGGTCAGGAAAACAACAATTTATAGTAGCCTAGCCTGTCTTGATTCTTCAGATAGAAGTTAGTGAACAAGAACAATGTAAGTTCCTTAACAAATACCTCCAAACTCCTAACGTATAACTAAAAATATGCCATAAATATTTGACGATAGATTCACTGTGAGGAAGGCACAGAGAATTTACTTCTTTAACAGCTGTTCTTCTCTAAAGATAATGAATCTCTTTTGGTTAATTGGAATAAGTTAACAGGCAACAGTGCCTAACTCTGGATCTAATTCTCAAGTTAAAACACAAGTTCATTTTTGGGTACTTGCAAAAGCCTAGAAATGGGAGGCATTCAACTAACTGCTTTCAAATTAGATTGAATGGAATTGGATTGAATATAACTAAAATAAAAGACCAATCTATTGGTAAGACATAGCTTTATGTAACTTTATGAACCTGACTTTTAAGTGTATCTTCCACAATAAGTTGGCTCAACCTAAATTGTGAAGATAAATAAGTATTAATTAAAGAGCAAGCAATATAAAAAAATGGAGGATATTTAAAGATCTTTAAGGATAATTTCACCTTCCTTGTAGCATAATTATAAATCATTAATATAAATAAATTTATAGTTTTACATGTATTTAAACTATATTCTTTTAAATAAATAAACTAAAGATTATGATAAAAAATTGGTATGTTTCAATATTTAAGTCCCGCAAAAGCCACTAAAATACAGGAAAAAGATACCCATATCAATATTTACATGTTGCTTGCAGCCAATACAGGACATTTCCTAAATGGTAGTCATTTCAGCACATGTACAGATGCAAGTAAGGTATAAGACATTGGAATGCAAATATTGGGACATCTGTAAAACTTTTAAAACTGACTTCTGTATTTTCCTAGCAATTTTTCTCTCTCCATATCTATGTACAAAACCAAAATCTATACCTGCTCATAAGGGTAAATTAGACACTAGAAGTTACCAAGCTTGTCTGAAATCTGTATTCATTTTTGGATTGCTACATTGTCAGGACCATCTAAATTATTTTTCATAACTTTCCAAACAATACATATTTGTTCTTTTTATAAGTTTCACTTTAAAATCAAAGAAAGCATGGTAATGATGTTCTTCTATGATTACAACTTAAAAGGCTAGAAGACACTAAACACAGTTGAGTGACGAGCCCTGTGTAGTATGCTGTAAAGAAATCTAAGATGCAGTATGTTATGCTTAAAAGGCATGAGAAAAATGAAAATGTGAAATTAGACTGTGTTCTGGCTGCTTATGTTTAACCTGAAATTTGTACATCTCATTTTAAGCCAAAAACAAAAATCCAAAAACAAAAAAAAAAGCATTTTGAAAGATCCTGTAGTATATTTTTTCCTTTAATAGTTCCTAGGATTACCTCTCTTCATCAGTAGTTCACATTTTTATAATAAAGCAATGTTTATTCTAATGACTATGCTAAGGTAGAAAAGAATCAGTGAAGTTTAACTTGAGTGAGAAATGATTACAAAAAAATTTCTACTAAACTTAATAAAGCATTAATGTAGACTTTGTGAAAAACTCTCCAGAGATTGCTGCCACCAGGGTCGATAAGAGAAGGAATGTATGACTGTGGAAATATGTAGACTTCTCTGTAGCACACGACTCTGAGAAGTTCCACAGCAAATAAGGAGACAGTACTTAACATTGCAGTTCACTAACTTTACAATGGAAAAAAAAAAAAAAAAGCTACAAAATTCACAGCTTCCTGTGATTCAAAATTCTAACAAATATTTCACACACTTATACACATTAACTGACCTGTTGCTGTCGAGTCGATTCTGACTCATAGTGACCCCATAGAACAGAGCCGAACTGCCCCATAGGGTTTCCAAGGAGCAGCTGGCAGATTCGAACTGCCGACCTTTTGGTTAGCAGCAGTAGCTCTTAACCACTGCGCCACCACAACCAGGGCTCCATTAACTAACACATTAATTAATTTTATGCAATTATCAGTAATGTAAAAGATCTTTCCTTTCTATGTTATTATAGCTATGACATACATTTATTACGTATTATATGTGGAAATCATAATTTCTGCATACATTAAAAATATTCTAGGCATGTGGTAATGATAATTATCCCATAGAAAAATAAAGACAAAGAATTTATTGTATTGTTTCAGAAATTATCTGTAATTCCCAGTATTTCTGGCAAATATGGGCAGTAATTTTAATACATCCACTGTTTGCATTGTAAAGAGCTAGGAAGGCTATTCAAAGAGCAGATGGAATTGGTTTTTAGGCTTTGACAACAACGTTATTGTTAATGTGGACTAAATGATCAACAATATAAACACGGAATACCTAATTTTCAAGAGAAATGTATTGCTTCAAAATAGAAAATATTTTTTAAAGATTAATGGAATGCCATGTATTGCTGTTGTGTGCTGTTGCGTGGATTCCAACTCATAGTGACCCAACAAGACAGACTAGAAGTGCCTCATAGTGTTTTCAATGCTGTCATCTTTACGGAAGCCGACTGCAACATCTTTCTCCCATGGAGCTACTGGTGGGTTCAAAGTGCCGACATTTTGGTTACCAGTCGAGCACTTAACCACTGCACCACCAGGGTTCCTTTTATCTTACTCAATATTTTATATGCCAAGGTCTCAGGTTCAAAATTGTCCACATAATTTTATAACTCCAGCAAAAGCAAAGCTGTACATGTTACATATGCTTATACAGTCTGAGAGAAATTATCCTTTTAAAGAGTCATACTCCTAGCTGATACATCTGATGCATGTTATAGGTTGACAGAGTATTTCTGTTCAATATTTGTTCTGTCATCTGCATGTCCTTTATGTTTTTCTGCATCAGTGAGGTTTGTGTCAGACTGATCATTCTCAAAGGCATGGCCTGAATCTAACTTTGCCATAGTCAAATAGTTTTTATGTACTTCCTGGCAAGGCCAGTGATGATGCCTGTGCATGTTTAGCCTGGGGCCAGACGGTGGACGGTCAGAAGCAGCATGTGGCAGCTGTGGGGAATCCAGGCTGGATGAAGAAGCAGTGACAGAGTCAAGCCCTGACAGTGTGGAAGGGAAATACAGCAGTCCACGGGTTCAAGCAGTTTAACTGCAAAGGACAAATTGCTAAAGGCCTATCACGGTATACCTGCGCCTATACCTCTACCTGTACCTATACCTATACCTATGTTAGATGCCATCGAGTAGATTTTGACTCATAGTGACCCCATGTGACAGAGTAAAACTGCCCTATAGGGTTTTCTAGGCTGTAATTGTTATGGAAGCAGATCATCAGGTCTTTCTCCTGTGAAGTGACTGGGTGGGTTCGAACTGCAGACCTTTCACTTAGCAGCCCAGTGCTTAACAGTTGTGATACCAGGGCCCCTTCCTATACTTATACCTATGCCTATACCTATATCTATACCTACACCTACACTTATATCTATATCTAGCTCAAGAAGAGGATTTAAGATTTAGTACTTTCTTAAATTGAATTCTAAATTTAGTCCCCAAAAAACATTCATGAATCTCTCAATCACTTCTATTCACTTCTATTCAGAGCTAGCTTACTTCGGAATGATATCCATTCATCTAAAGAGATAGCAAAGTAAATTTAATATGTACCCAAGATCTCCTACATATTGACGGATGATAAAGTCAGACTTCTAATTTTCCAAGGTAATAGAAGACAGCATGAGTAACTTAATGCAAACAACTCATTTTATTTATTACTTTTAACATCTATACTTGCCCTCCCCTCAGCTCCACCAACCTCTTACCAGGGCACCCTATAAAAAAATGAAACTGACTGATTTAAGTTCTACTCTCTTCCCTTGGCTCAGTCTTTACTGAAACATAAAACAGTCAGAAAACATGAAAAAGAAAAATAAGAAATAACTGCCACATGTTGAATTACCAGTAATTAAATAAGAGTTTCAAAAAAAGTTAAACAGCAAATCAAAATTCCATGTATGTTGTCTGTTTGGTAGTTTTAAACACTAAAAATGAGGAAACCAGAATATATTTTAGGACTAAGTGGCACTGATGCTTAGATCATCTTAAGGTATTTAGTTTGAGTTTTCTTTGGCTCAGACACTATTTTTTTTCCTTTTAATGTGTTTTTCTAGATTATTTGTTTCTGTTCTCTTTTGTTTTATAAATCTCAAGTGTGTTCAATTCCATTCAATTCACTTCAATACACCTTAACTTTCTTGAAATTAATTCAATAAACATTCTAAGGAAAAGCAAAAACAAAAAAAAACAAAGAAAAACACACCTTATATTTTAAAATTACCACAATAATTTAAAATTGTGTCTTCCTAAACAAAATGACTCTGGTACACTGTCAACTTGAGGTTTAAAATGTCCTGAGGGTGGCAGTAGCTAGAGGAATCAAAATGAAAATAACATATGTAAATAAAGAAATGAAAAGTATTCTTCACTTGCAACATTTCAGAACTGTGTTTTCAAAGTTTTAAAAATATTAAAAATGCAAAGTAAAAAGTAAGAATGAAAGTGAGTACTTTCACATAAAAAAGAGAGTTAGTTGTACCTGCTATTTCTAAGTGTAAGTGCTTTGGTTTTAGCACTGATATCATAAATAAAACGTTGCTGGGTAATTATTATCTTATTTTCTGCTGTTGTATTTCCCAAGATTGTGATAACAGGATAACCCATCTGGAGTGTCCACTGATCCATTACTTCTTGTATATTTACATATTTTCCATTCCTTTTTAAAGCCTTTAAAACAAAAATTGTATAAATTAGTTTTTTCTAAGCATGAATTATAAACATAATTAACATTAACCCATTTTCATTTTTACCTTTACAATTTACCTAAAAATATGAAACATTTAAAATCAGTGAAGCTAATATAATGTGCTAGTAAAATTAGTCTTCTCACCTTAAGTTAAACTTCATGCATATATATAAAGAAATGGAAGTTTTATTAGCATTAAAGTTTTTACATAATGGAGGATAAATACATTTTACTGGTATAGCAAGTACTTGGCGGCATCATCAGGCATCCCCAGTGTGTCTAGTAGGCACACTTAAACATTTGTCATTCATAGATTGAAGAAAATATTTCTTTAAAACTTTAAATATTTCTCACTTTAGTATGAATATCTGAACATAATAAATTATATTTCAGAAATATTATCATTTTTGAAAGTAGGCAAGGTATCTTTTACTACCATTCGTAGTTAAATTTAAATCCCATTATCTTTATAATATGTTATATCAAAAATAAAACAAATAAGCAATATGGGAAAAAAGGGAAATGCACAAAGTGAAAATAAACTGTCAGTGTCAAAAGTTACGAATGTTTTATAAATTCAATTCAAATATTTAAGGAGAGGTTTTGCTGTCCACGTTTCCTATACTTTACCTCCGATAGTGTATTCCAGAGATCATTTCTGGCTGCATTGCCATACTTATGAATGGTTAAATAATCCTACAAAGAAGATAAAGGTGCAATTACAATTCAAAAGCTAAGCAATTACCAGTAAACATACTCATTTCTCAATTCAATTAACCAATTCTATTTGTTGAAATTGCGTTAATACCAAGACTCAAAAAGATTAAGAATCTAATTTTAAAATATTCCAAAGAGATTTAACAATAACATATTTTCTAATTAATTCCTCAAACAATACTGATCTTTAAAAAAATGATTTTCAAAATCATAATCACTTACAGATTTCTGGGGTCAAAGATTTTCCCCTAATTTGTCAAGTCAACCTCAGCCAATTTGGAAGAAACTACCTCTCCAGTGACATATTTAGGGGAAACTTGCCTATCAGTCTTTCATATTAAAGGATTGAAAAAAATTATAGAATTAAAAGAACTCTGACTGGTTTACGCTGAAAATATTTACTTTTTCTGACTGTACTCAAAATTTACATCCCAAGGATGATTATGCAATGAAAAAATATGTGCTTATGTGTGAACTTTACCAGATACCTAGTTGGCATGTTTGGTCAAGTTGGGATCTGGTGTTTTTTGTTTATTCAGCCACAGAGTATGTGGTTTCCCCATGCCTTTAGCAGTGAAAAAGCCAAACAGTTAAGAGGGATTGGTTTGCCAAAAGAGTGAGGATTGTCTCTACAACCTCTCCTACCATCTCTGCAAAGGAGAGGATGCCTATTACAAAAATGATGAACACTGCTTTAATTTGAAGCGGCTATTCTTATTTAATTAAAAAATAAGTTCTAAATGTATTCAACATTTTTGAGCTTAGGACTTCCCAACCATTAGCTAAATCTACACACCTTTCTGTCTGATTTCAGGCTTTGCTTCTTTCTAAGGGGTATGGTTTATGCCATTGTGAATGTGTCATTTGCTTATGATTACTTGGCATTAAGTTTTTCTGATTTCAAAGTGGGGGAATGAAATAAAGTATGTTACAGTGTAAAACAAAGTCTCCTCCTTCGTTTGAAATTCCTTCATCTCTACAACATGTAGGTAATAGACAAAATCTTCATTTACATCACAGTACTGAAACTAAAAAAAAAATTGCTGACTCAATTCAGTACTTTATGTAAAGTGGAATACTTTGGGGATAATTAAAGTTGGGGAAGCAAATTTTCTGAAATACAAATTGTAGCACCTGTGACAGATTCAGCTTTTGTTGGCAACTAACAGCAGAGCTAATGACAGCTCCCACTTAATCCCATGCCTAGAGAAACAATGTCCAACACTGACTAAGCAACCACAGATTCATCGTTGTCAAGAGGTGCTACCAATAAATTTATTGAAAAAATATACCCTTGAATAACCAATCTGAACCCGAAGTTTAGCTTTGGACAGGACATATGAGGCATTTTCTATTTGAATCCTGGGACCAGGATTTAAATAAATTATTTCAGATTTAGCTGTCAAAATCATTATCTTTTTCTTTGTGGGGGGGGGCATCTGAATACATTTAAGAACAATGGAAATCATGAAACACAAATTTGAATTTTATTTAAGTGATCCTACAATAAAAAGATTAAATTAAACAGTTTAATATTGGGTTCTGTTTATGGAGAGTACTGCTAGGATAATACAAAAGGGGGAGCAAACAAACAGTAACTGGACCTTGAAGGAGCCAAAACACAACTACAGGCTTCTCCTTGGAGACAGAGCATAAAAGTTATAGACTGTCCAACTTAATATGAGTTGGCTCTTGGTTCAATTTTGACCATTAGCTTGAGTTCTTTGTTCCCTTCCCAATTCAGAATAAGGCTCAAATTTAAGATTCAACTAGGCTGAAATGGCAATTACCCAGGCTTAAGAAGCAGCTCCTAAAATGCCTGGCTTGGTGTTCAGGAAAGAGATAGCATGTTTTCTTGGAATCCCAGCAGTCCCAATATTCACATGTTACTGGAATTCTATACACGTCAACCCTCTTTTCCAAAAATATATTTTCCTTAGCTATTCTAGCCTTTCTCTTGCACAAAGATATGCATATTTTGAACTACAAAATTTTGCTTTGTCTTTGGAGAATTACAAAGAAACTTAAAGGATAGTCAGCATGCTCACTAAGAAACATGGTATTCATTTGTTCTTTCATCTCCACAAAATGTATGAAGCACTTAGCATGTGCCAGGCATCTTTCTAGGTGATGGAGAAGAGCGGTAGACCAAAGGTAACTGAGAACAACTGCAAATAATGAGAAGTAATTTGAGTAGGTCCCTGTGACTGAACTTTTGTCTTGGTCCAACAACGATGTGGCAAAATAAATTCAAATATTTGGTATGTGATTGAATAAGAAGACTTTAAGTTCCTTTCAAATCTACCAGTCAATGAATATGAAAATGACTGGATATGAATCTGAAATGGAAATCTATGCTTATATTTATAGGTATGAAAGTCAATTAGCAGTAGATATGACATTACGATACAAAGTAGTATAATGTATAAAGTATAATGTTTTAATATCAGCTGTAAGAAGAATTATGGGCTATCTATCCTAGCTCTTTCAAAATAATAGAGTTATTGAAAAGAATAAACAAAGATGACCACTTGAATATTCTTAAGGGACATATCCAGCAGTATAAACTGATTCAAAATTAAAAGGGTATTAAACAAAACAGGAACTAGAGACTGAGTGCCTTGGTTCAAATCTAATCTCCAGCACTCACCAGCTGTTTGATTTTGGGCAAGTTGCTTAACCTCTCTGTGCCTGTCTTCTCTTCTATAAAACCAGAATAATAGAAGTACCTACTGGACAGAGTTTTTATGAATATTAAATGATTTACTATATGTACAGTGCTTAGAATAGTGCAGAGGGGCTAGTATACAGTAAGTATTCCATAGATATCAGCTATAATAATCTTTTTAATCATCTCAGGCTACTGACTGGAAAACTGAGTAACAGAAGGAAAAGTATCATTAACAATAATAATTAAGGAATGTAGCACATGAAAATTATAAAATTAGAATAGCACTCTGTGAATTTCTTTATTTTTTCATATTTAATTCATATAACCATATTATGAGTTAGATAATGTAATCATCATTTAATAAATCAGAAAACTGGAATTCAGAGACTCCACTCCATATCCAAACCCCATACCTGTGTTCACAGCTGCCTTTTCAATATCCACTGGCCTCCTGACTGATAACTAAGGGTCATGTTCAAAACTGAACTCATCGTCCTCCCCCATACTGGATCCTCTTGGGGGCCTTCCCCTAGTGATGAACCTAAACCATACTGGATCCTCTTGGGGGCCTTCCCCTAGTGATGAACCTAAACCTTTGATGCCTCCTTCTCCCTTCCCATCACATTCAAGTAATGATTCCTTTACTGATTTGGCATCCTAAGTCTTCCTCTAGGATGCCTCTCTATACTCTACAGCATCTTACCTGGGTCACTTCAGTTGCCACTGCTTCTGCTCTGTCCCTTTCAAATCTACCATACAGCCAGAATACTCGTCAAATATGCACATGAATCCCTGCTGCGTTCAGCATATAGTCCAAACACCTTAACATCACTTAAAAACATCCCTCATGAACTAGTTCATCTGTACTTCCTCAATCCAACTTGTTACCTTGTTGCCCCCGCCTCAGTTTAGCCACTTTCAGGTTTCTGAAGATGCCTAATGCATATTTTGTCTCTTTTCTAGTTCTCTACACATACCTTTTCTCCTTTGCCTATTTAAATTCAATTCAGCATTCATGACTCAACTTTAATGCATTTCCTCCAAGAATCTTTGCTTGCCCACTTCCACTCCCTTCCTAATTCTGAGTTAAGCTCCTCTCTTACATTCTCACACCTTGCATCATGTAAGCATATTTAATACACTGTGTTATAATTGCCTATTTAGTTTAACTGCTTAGTCTGTAGTCTATAAACTCCATAAGGTAAGGACCCAGTTATTCTTGTTTATCACTGTTTAACCAGCACATATGCTCTCAATCTGATATACAATAGATACTCAATATCCTTTCATGGTTCTTAGGACAGAATGCACCCACAAATGTTTTTGAGTTCTAAGGTTTCCCAGGAGGCGATCTGTCCCATTAAAAGTATATGCTGCCCTCCAGTGGGGGCTTGTATAACAGTGAAAAATGAAAGAAACGTTCTTTGGCAAAAATTCGCTAAGGTAGAAGGCTTAGGTATGACATACTGTATCCAGGAAGTATGACTGGGTCAAACTTTTGTCTCTTTTGGCTTTTATATAGCTAGATAATCCTTGTAAGCATATGTATAGCTTTTTGTGTGATAGTTAGGGAGCCCTGGTAGGTTTGGTTTTGTATGTGTGTGTGTGTGTGTGGATATTTGGAAAATCAGAGTTGTCCAATGTAACCAAATGTACGTATTGACCCATGTTGAAAATTGTAACATTTTGGGGACATATGTGCCCCAGAAAATATGTATCGAAATCCATATTTCATAATAAAATTTCAGAAATCTTCCTTGATTCAGTATGCTTTCTGTTAATGAAAACACATGGTATCACCAAAAATTCAAAGTAGAAAATAATTGTGTCTTGAAATGGGTATGTGTGTAATTTCTGACTCTCCTTAGTCAATATGCTTTTCTGTTAATAACTGACAATACAGTAAAAAGAGATTTACTATACACATCAGATTACCCAAACATGTTACATTTAGACACCAATATAGAACAAACTTCATTTTTTCAGTGCATATTTCTCAGTATATAATTTGCATTGGTATATTTGCAATTCCATGTGATATCATCATAAGTTTATGAACGATTGGATGTAAGACCTTTTTTTTACTTTCTTTGCTAACAAGTGATATGGTTCATAACGTTTCATGTATAAAAGCCAATGGGAGTAATAAAGGTCAGGAGAAAAGTAAAAATGGTGAGCTGAGGAAGTAAAGCACTATTATCTTTTAAGATTTACACAGAAATAGTTATGGAATACTTACTCTCCTATTAATGAGTCCTTCAGCATGTTAGGACAGAGAATTAACTGCATGGGTAGTTTGTTCCTCAGG